TTTCTGGTTGCCCTCAATGGTCTTCTTTCCTCTCTTCCTTCAGGTGTCTTCTCCGCTCTCTATGTCGATGATCTTACCCTTTGCTGTCAGGGTGATGATTCGCCTCTCCTTCAGCGCCGGCTTCAAGTTGCAATTGATACTGTGTCGTCTTGGGCCACCGATCATGGCTTCAAGTTCTCTACTTCTAAGGCTTGTGCCATGACTTTTACGCAGAAACGGGTCGTTCTTCGTCCCTCTTTGTCATTCTATGGTCATCCCCTTGAGTACAAAGATTCCGCGAAGCTTTTGGGGCTATTCCTTGACACTCGTTTGTCTTGGTCTCCCCATATCTCTTACCTCCGTGTTGAGTGCTCTAAGGCCCTTACCCTCCTTCGGGTCTTGTCCCATACTTCTTGGGAGGCAGATAGGCGCACTCTCCTTGCTTTACATTCCTCTCTCGTCCTGTCTAAGCTCGATTATGGTTGCCCTGCTTACTCGTCTGCTTCTCCTTCTACTCTTCGCCGTCTTGATGCTTTGCACCATACTGGGTTGCGCCTCAGTTCTGGTGCCTTTCGTTCGACTCCCGTCCTTAGCTTGAAAGTTGATACTGGCTTCCTGTCTCTCGAAGACCGCCGTGATCGCTACTGTCTTCACTATCTTGCGCGGTCCTTACAACATCCTTCCTCTCGCCTCTGTCGTGCTTTAACTTTTGCCCCTCCTGCGGTTCCTGTTCCTCTTCACCACCTCCCTCTTTCTGTCCGGTTATCTCGCCTACAGGACTCTCTTTCCGTTCGTATTTCTAATGTTTCTCCTCGTGTTGTTCCTTCTTTTCCCCCGTGGAGAGTCCCTCTTCCGCGGTTTTGTACATCCTTGACCCGTATCACTAAAGCTTTTACCCCTCCTACGGTTCTAAAACGCCTTTTCCTTGAGCACTTTTCTTCTCACTCCCGCTCCGTTTCTGTCTTCACCGATGGGTCTAAGTCTGCGGACGGTGTTGGCTACTCTGTTGTTTTTCCTGATCGCACTTATATGTGTCGCTTACCTCCGGAGACTAGCATCTTTATAGCGGAGCTTTATGCTATTCTCTATGCTCTTCGTCTCCTGCTTTCTCGTTGTCAGTCTTCCTTTGTAGTTGCTGTTGACTCTCGTAGTGCCCTCATGGCTCTCGGGTCCTTTAATCCGGTTCATCCAGTAGTTGTCGAGATCCAGCATTGGCTGTTTCTTGTTCACAGTAAATTTAAGTCGGTTGAGTTTTGTTGGGTTCCCAGCCATATTGGTGTGTCTTTAAATGAGCGTGCGGATGCTGCCGCCAAGGAAGCTGTCCGCTCTTGTCCCATCTCTCGTAAAGGTATTCCGTATTCCGACTTTTACCCGGTTATCCATTCCTCCGTCCTTACCCGTTGGCAGGCTTCTTGGTTGTCTGTTACTGGTAACAAACTACGTACTCTTAAATGTTGTGTTTCCTCGTGGCCGTCCTCCGTCCACAGTAACCGGCGGTTGGAAACAGCTCTGGCGAGGTTGCGTATTGACCATACTCGCTTAACCCATGGTCACTTGATGGAGCGCCGCCCTGCTTCTTATTGTCCTAGTTGCATTGTCCCTCTTACGGTCGTGCATGTCCTTCTTGAATGTCCTGACTTCCAGTACGAGCGTGTGTCTTGCTTTCCGACCGCCCCTCGCGGTCACCTGTCCCTCAATAGAATTCTTGGTGATTCGGATACTTTTGATATCGTTCGCCTTATGCGTTTTTGTTCTCGTATTGGCATCCTTGGTGATATTTAGCGCCCTCTGATTATTTTGCGCATTTGATGGTTCTACATAGCCTTCCCGGTTTGGTGCCTTCTTTTGATAATTACTTACTTACCCTTATTCTGTGGTTGTCGTCGAGGGCGCTGATCGAGGGAAGGTCCGTCGCGTGGCTGAGCTGGGGGACAAGTGGTGTAAGCCGGGTGCCTCCTTCTACAGTGCGGGCAGTAGTGCTTGAAGGAACATGATGTAAAATTGCAGCCGGGTCCCCTCGAGTGGTAGGAAAAGCAGTAGCCCAGGGGGAGCCCTGCGGCCCGGGCGCTAGATTGAGTAAGGGCCTCCGTTCGCCCCACCTCCTGCCTTGTCATCTGGACAGCGACATGTGCGACGGCTGGACCGAGCGGAATTCCAAGTCCAGCCTGTAATCGAGCCAAGAACAGTCCGACCTCTCCTTGTCCCATCCGAAAGCCTTGTCGTACCACATCCAATCGCCTCTGAGGGTCGCCTTCATGGTCTTGATCGACGTACTGAGCATAGGTGAACAGCGCCTGGGCCTCGGCTGGGTGCTTCTCGATGTAGATCGTTGCATAGATGTCGAAGCCATGCCCCCACTGGTCCGGCGTCAGGGGCGGCTGCTTCTTAGCAGGTGTCTGGGAGTCAGGGGTCGACACTGGGCGAGTCTCATAGGGGTCCTGTTTTGCGCTCGTGAGCGAGCAACTCCCTGAGGTAAACATACTTGTTAGCCCAGACCTTTTCCCGGAGGGCCTGAGGGACGTGCACGCCCAGGAGTGGGATTGTGGAACCCTGGGGCGCCCGAAGGTGTCCCAACCAGGGACTAGTAAGTGGGGGAGAAGCACTCACCCTGGGAGACTCACCATAAGAGGACGGGCTGGAGGAGCTGGCACGGCGTCTTGACGTATATGCCCCCTGGCCCCTGGACCGAGGGCGACGCTCGGTGGAGGAGGGCGAGGCGGCTCTGACAGCCGCGGCAGGGGCGGCCACGGTGCCTCCCCCGTCCCGGAGGCCTGTGACTAGGGAGGGCCCCCGTGCCTGCGCGATGAGGGCCTGCAGCGTCACCCAGTCGTCTGCTGAAAGGGTTGGTTGATGCGTCACTGTTCCACCCGTTGCTTTGCCAGTAGTGCGCAGCTGGGAGGTGCGCTCGCAGTCCATGTCCGAGCCGCCCGAGGAGGCCTCTGTATAAGGAGAGGCGAAACGAGCAGGCTTGGTCTGTGCCCTGGCCAGCTGCGTCCTCGCGCCGCTACATTGCTAGCCTCGTGCCGACGCCGTCCGTGCCCTCTTCCGTGGTGCAGATGCTGGGTGATCCGGCTTCTCACCACTGCGGAAAGGAGGAGCGTAAGCAACGGCCGGAATGACAAGGAGGCAGGCAGGGAACAAACCCGTTTGCTGCAGCAGCTAGCATATAACATACACCGACAACTGTATTAATAAATTTAAATACAATGGCGAGAATAGAACAGACGTTAAACCATAGGCTCGAAAGAGCGGGGGGGGGGGGGGGGGGAGCAAAACTGACGTAGGAGGACAGCCTCAACTACGGGCTGAAAGGGGCAATACACGGGGAAAACGGCAAAAAACCCGGCCGCAACTAGGCCGAGAGACCAGAGCCCCATGAACAGATAAGGGAACCGGGATGAGAAAACCAGTTAAGACAACAAGAGTTTCAAGTGCAGCGGCTGAAGTGGGCAAAGTGAGGGCAGAGCCCCTCTTTGCCCCGGTATTTCTATGCCCCCAGAACTGCCCGTGCAGCACCAGCGGGTGGCCCTGCGCAATTGTTTCTTTCTTCCCCATCAGAAACAGCTCCGCTTTTCTTGCAAAGCAGAGGCCATTTCAGATAAAGTACATACATACAAGGTGAGATACAAAAGTTGATGGATTTATAGATAGAGCTAGTACATACAATGCCTAAAGCCACTATTACGCAAAGTGTTTCGGGCAGAAAAAACACGATTCAAATGTTCAGAACTCGCACTATTCAGAACTCATATGTTCTCTAATGGGTTCGAGATCGACCACAAGTACAGTTTCTAAGTTAAGAAACTGACATGTGTGAAGAGCTAGTGTCACAATTGATATGTTTGTCCTGCACACCGCCCCCCCCCCATCCAGTGGGAAGCGGTGGATTACTTACAGTTGTGCATATCCCTGTTGAATGGCCTGACTTTCAGCATGTCTTGCTTTCCGACCCTCCCCCGCGGTCACTTGTCATTTGATAGAATTCTTGGGGAATCGGATACTTTTGATATCGTTCGCCTTATGCGTTTCTGTTCTCATATTGGCATCCTCGGTGATATTTAGCGCCCTCTGATTATTCCGCACATTTGATAGGGCTACGTAGCTTCCCGGCTTGGTGCCTTCTTTGATAATTACTTACTCTGAACTGCCCCGTGGAGGTATGATTATCAAATAGAAAAGATTATCAGGGCAAATGGGAGGGGGGGGGGGGGGTTCTGACAAGCTACTACCGCCCACGGGATGGGTATGGGGTGCATAATAAATGAACTAAACTAACTGGTGCGGCCCCCCATCTCTAAGCATGGAGACCACTTCTTCAGAAGGACATAGCTGCTCTGGAGAAAGTGCAACACCAGGAAACAAAAATAATTCCAGAGCCAAGTCAACTCGTTAATCAGAAGGCCACAGGCCTAACAGCACTACAAATCAGGCACAGTAGGGCGGATCTTATGGTAACTTAAAATGCTGAAAAATTTAGTGGACGTTTCTCCGGAAAATTTCTTCAAAAGGTTAGTCGGATGTAACACAAACAAGGAGCAATGATTTCAAGCTCAACAAGCCACAGTGTAGTATTGAGAACAGGAGATGCTTCTTCACCCACGGAGTTATAAACCCATGGAACCGCCTACCCGCCAAATCCGTAAATGCCAAGACCCTTGAATTTTAAAATAAAACTGGAAAAAGATTACCAAGGCAAATGGAGAGAGACCGTCCACAAGCCGCCGGCTTCCTGACCTCGTCGAGGACACTAGTGTTAAAGGCTATCAGGTAAATATAAAACAAGTCATCAAAGCAGCTGTAAAATATTCATAATTTACCCAGCAATTATACTATATTATATTATAGCTAACTTGATTATATCTAAACCCCACAAAATTAGCTACATCTAAACCCCACAAAATTAGCTACATCTAAACCCCACAAAATTAGCTACATCTAAACCCCACAAAATTAGTTATATATAAACCCCACAATTATTATTGTTTTAATTATCTTAAGTTTTAACCATAGAAAATGGAAACATTTTAACAGCAAGAGAAGCGATCATTGAACTAACAACAACAATTTTCACGTGTCGTCATACAGGAGATCGCCGGCCAGGAACGACCAGTGGGCATAGCTGTCATTCTTGTCAAGCCAACAGTTGGTTATTTTGTAATTACGAATCCCCGAATCATTGGGTAAGGTCGCGGCGCTCGAGTTTCAAGGCCGTGGAGGTAAAATCTTTCACAATCATTCCGAACATAGCTCGTTTCCTTGTTACTGAAACGATTTCAATAAAGGTGGTAAAGTATTCATACTTGTTACGATTGGGAGCATGTTAGGGTTTAAACAAGGTATAGGAGTACCATATAATGGGGTTAGGATAAGCCCGGGCCCCCAGGGGTAGCAGTTGACCAAAATATTGATAAATATGGTCTGCAGTCTAGAGCAGATCACCTAACCCTAATAAAGACTGGTGATAGAAACTCCCAATATTTATTTATTTATTTATTTATTTATGCATATACAAGAATGTACATAAGGAATGTGAGGATACAAATATGGTAATTACAGTCTTGTAAAGCCACTAGCACGCGCAGCGTTTCGGGCAGGTCCTTAATCTAAGAAAATTTTAAGGAGGTAAATACTTGCAAAAATTATAGACAAAAAATGATAACAGATTACATGAAATGAAAAAAAGATGAGAGAAAATTGTAGGTACAGTATATTAAAGCACATAGGTAGCTAAGATTGATTGCAATGACAGCTTGAATGGTAGTTGACAAAAAAATTGGTAGGCACAATACAGCAGAAACAATATAAGATTGGTTGCAATGACAGCTTGAATGGTAGTTGACAAAAATTGGTAGTCACAATACAGCATATGGCTAGCACATTAAAGAAGACAGCAATGAACACAATGATAAGGTTGTTTGATATTACATAAAAATTAGGAGATTGGGTAACACTAGATACAGAGCAAATTTAAAGCTCAGTGTAGGAAACTAAGAAGATGAAGTTAGGTACTTTTTGGTTTTGCTTTTAAATAAGGCAAAAGTTTTACAGTTTTTCAATTCACTAGGGAGTGAGTTCCATAGACTAGGTCCCTTAATTTGCATAGTGTGTTTACACAGATTAAGTTTGACCCTGGGGATATCAAAGATATATTTATTTCTGGTGTGGTGATAATGGGTCCTATTACAATAAATATTTTACCTATTTTATTATAACCCTAAAACCCCCAAGTACAACGGAATACTTTACTACCTAAATGTCAACCTATGTCTTGATATAATAAAACATTATTGATTAATGACTAACTTGTAAAACTGCTGATATTTGCCATGTATAAACTTAAGAAAATTGTAGTCCATCTGTTTATTTATTAAAAATTACATTCTGTGGTTCTGTTGCAATTCCTGGTGTTAATTCAACACTTAATTATTGTCATTCTTTATTCTTCTTCAGTTCAATTCATTCTTTTGATCTCAATTAGTCTGAAATTTTAGTTTTTTAGTTTATTTTCCCCACATCTTACCCAAAACATAGTGCATATTAGTGGCTTTAGGCACAGTATATACTAGCTCTTTCTAGAAATCCAACATTCTGCTTGTAACTCAATATGTATGTAATTTTACATAAATACAAATTTATTATATACAGTATTTATTATTTATAGTTAGGTTAAGTTGGATTAGGTTGAGTTATGTTAGGCTGGGATAGAATGGGCAGAGTTAAATTTTGTTATATTTTATAACAAGTTAGTTTAGTTTATAATATTAATAATAATAATTTATTTACAAGAAGGTACAAAGGGTTTGTGAGATTACATAAGATTGGTATTTTTACATTCTTGCAAAGCCACTAACACGCATAGTGTTTTGGGCAGGTCCTTATCTAATATATCAGGTAAGATGAAAAGGTATGGTACATTGTAGCATGAAAAGGTATGGTACATTGTAGCATGAAAAGGTATGGTACATTGTAGCATGAAAAGGTATGATACATTGTAGCATGAAAAGGTATGGAACATTGTAGCAAAATTTTACATCAACATACAACTACAATATAAATTTATGAAGGTGATTATCGACTTGAGAATGGTCCAGGACGGACCGAAACGTCGTCGTCCCTTCACCTTCTAGTGTGTGGTTTGGTCAACATACTTTAGCCACATTATTGTGACTCATCGCCTGCACATGGAGGTGATTACACTGGTGAAGTTATGTCTTAAGAATCTCTACTAATATTTGGGCAGTGGGTAGCACAAGAAACAGTTCGAGTTTGAAGCACAATAAAGGAAACTGAGGATGAAATTAGGTACTTCTTGGTTTTACTTTTGAAAAGGACGTAGGTTGGACACGTGTGAGGCCGAAGCTCCATCGACCGTGCAATTGAGTAGTCTTAATAAGGAAAGTTTCCAGAAGCAGCATCCTGCTGCCAGACTAGAAATAATAGTGAAAAATAGTGAAACTCAAGCCAAACAAATCCCCAGGGTCAGATGAAGTGTTTGCCAGGGTGCTTAAAGAATCCAAAGAGGAGCTTTGCAAGCCATTGTCTGCCAAGGGAGCCGGTCGGCTGAGTGGACAGCACACTGGACTTGTGATCCTGTGGTCCCGGGTTCGATCCCGGGTGCCGGCGAGAAACAATGAGCTGAGTTTCTTTCACCCTATGCCCCTGTTACCTAGCAGTAAAATAGGTACCTGGGTGTTAGTCAGCTGTCACGGGCTGCTTCCTGGGGACGGAGACCTGGTCGAGGACCGGGCCGCGGGGACACTAAAAAAGCCTTGAAATCATCTCAAGATAACCATATTTAATAAATCATTAGAGTCCAGTAGAGTGCCAGAATCGTGAAAGGTTGCTAATGTGGTCCAAATTTTCAAGAGAGGAGATAGATCATTTGCATCAAACTATAGGCCAATTAATTAACTTAATGTCTATTGTGGGAAAGTTACTTGAATCAGTTCTGTAATTGCAAATACCATTCGTCTTCATTTTGAAAAACATAAATTAATAGAACGATTCACAACATGGTTTTACAAATGACCGTTCATGTTTAACAAATTTGCTATCACTTTATTCCAGCATAGTTGAGGCAGTTGATATTGGTAAGGTTTGTGATGTTGCGTACCTTGACACAAGCTTTTGATACAGTGCCACATGAAAGACTGATTAAAAAGATAGAGGCTCATGGTATTGGGAGTGCTATATTAATTTGGATTAGGGCATGGCTATTCCAACAGAAACAGAGTTAGTATAAATGGGGTTAAGTCAGAGTGGGAATATGCTGTAAGTGGAGTGCCTCATGGCTCTATCCTGGGGGTCTCTGTTATTCATTGTATATATATATGATTTAGATTCAGGTTTGAGCAGCAGTACAGTACAATGGGGCCTCGACTTACGATGCTAATCTGTTCTCAGAGATGGATTATAAGTCGAAATATCGTAAGTCGAAGCGATTTTTCCCATAAGAAATAAAGGGATTTGAATTAATCCATTCCCCACCCTCCAAAATATTAACACTTTCGCGCTATCTAAACGCGCCGGCGCGTCCGGTTTCGTCTAACGTAAACGCATAGTGGACATAAAGTTATGTCAACTTTTAAAATATTTGTATAAAATTCAATTTTTATCCGATTTACTTTGGGTTTGTTTTAAACTGCGCGCTATGAGGCTCTCTTTCTCACCACTAGGCTGCATGGTACAATAAGTTCATGAAAGGTGTGGATAACTTCGATCAAATGGTATTTTGTCCCAAACGGGTTGCAGGTGGGTGACTTTAGCCGTTTATACTGGTAATGCTTCCCCCATATCATGTATTATATGCATATGTCTGTTTAGGGAATTTTATTCCGATCAATATACAACCAAAAATAACTGTGTGCATCAAGTATAAACTTGACAAACATAACAAAAGTAAAAACATTTCGTGTGTGTTTGACGCTCACTGATATGTTCCAGCGTTGTTTTATATTTGGCGCTATTCTAACTTACGCTTTGTTGATATTTTTTACCTATGGGCACATAGAACATTCTATTGCGAACACATTGACGCAAAAATGAATGACGTACATAGAAAATTAATGTCATGAGAGTGAAATAAGTATAAACTTTCAAAGCGCCGTGCGTCGTCCCGTCACCGATACCGGGTAACAATTTCACCAGTTCCCACACTCTTGCGGGCGGGCCGCAATCATTATTCTACGCTTATATTCATATCACCGTGTTGGGAATTTCATTGCGAATCCATTGATACCAAAATTAACGCTGTAGAACAAGTGTGGAGGTGATTACAATCCCAAGAGTAAAAACATTTTGTTGCTGATGGGCGCTCACGGCGAGTCATCTTCGTAGTTATTTATTTGGTGCTGGTATCCCTATACGTTTCGTGACTTTTTTTACTGATGTTCTTCTAGAGAATTTTATTACGAACACGTTGGTACCAAAATGAAATACGTAGCATGAGAACTAAGGTCAGAAGAGTAAAAAGAGTATACACATTTTTGTTTTTACGCTTAAGCGATAAAACGCAACGCGCACATTCGGTTGGCTGAGTGACCTTTGCGGAGAGCGCGAAAGTGTTAACATTCAAATACATTTTATACTGAATACAATGTTTTTTTCTAACTACAATACAGTACAGTACCTAAGTTTATCTTACCTTTATGGAGGGCTCTTGATGGCATATGGAAGATGGTGATGAGGGGGGAGGAGGAGAGTTGTTACTGTTTGGAAGGGGAGTCCCCTTCCATTATCACATCAGGCAGTGATGCTGCCTGATGCTGTACTCTCTCTCCTACGTTTTGCCTGAATACCACTAGGACCTGGTTGTGGTTCAGTGCTTGTTTGTCTCACTACAAATTTGTCAAGAGACATTTGTTTTTCCCTTCGTTTTAACATTTGTCTGTAATGATGCATCACTTTAGCACCTATAATGTCCATTTTCTTAGCTAGTATGGTGGATATCGTTGACTGAGATTTGTTGTACTGCCTAGCCAGTCCAACAACCCGCACACCATCTTCATATGTGAGCCTTACTACTGACTTTCCTGGGACTCATGGTTTGATATATAATAATTACTTTAATGTTCATAATGCAAAAAATCACCACAAAAGCGAAATTTCTTATAGGCGCGATCGTCACTAAGCGGGCAGCTGTGGTAAACTTAGGCAGGTCGGCCGCGTGACCAGGAACCAC